TACCTGTGCCTCAGTGAAGGGTCTTTCAGAAAGGAGACCCATTTTCTCACTTTCTGTTTCCTGTAACTGCTACTGAAGACGGAGGAGCAAAGCCATGCCAGCTCTTCTAGAACATTTTCCCCATTGGAAAAGTGCTTTTCTGTTTCTCACAGTTAACAGTAAAGCCCATTCACTACTCAGGCCCAAGAAGATAACCAGGCATGCTTATTTCATGGTCTCCTCTTTGCTCCTCTGTTTTGTTCGGTCACTAAATGGTGTTAGAAGTGAGAATCAGGACTCTCTTTCCTCACCAAATGAAAACACAAGTGACTTGTTGACTACAAGATTTACTCTCACAGATACTTCCAGAGTAATATGAAATCCAGGCCAAGTCTCCACAGAAAGGAACTGGTGGCGTATGCAGCAGGCTCCACGGCTGCTGTTCCATGCCCAGAAGGACATCATAAATCATTTGTAATTTATGAAGAGCTAGCCACTTGTGTACTACACCCTACTAACTGCTATGTCTATGCCCCACACACTATAGCCTCCCTTCTTTGGGGCATACAGAGGCTTTTTCAGATGATCCCTAGGACAGAAAACAGAATTTTCCCTTAGACTGGCCCAGCCAACGAGAAGAGGAGGGAGAAGACAGAAAGCTTTTGTTCCTGAAGGTTTTGCCACCAGCCTCGCTTGCTTTCTCCTAAATTAGGAGCTAGGAGGAGGTAGGAAGCAAGACCATTTTAATTACTACTCCATTTATTTAGCAAATGCACATATATTTTGAGTGCGGATAAACTGTAGGTCACAAGTGAGGGCACAGCAGTAAGCCAAACAGAGCTGTGGGTCCCATTGAGATCAAGTACGTACAGAGTTTGCAGGAAAAAGGAGATGGATAAAGACAGGAAAGGGAGCAAGTTATTCTACATCTGGTATGCACCAAAGGGGTTCCTAATGAGGCCGCCTTTGAGCAGGGCTTGAAGGACATGATGGAATGAGCCATTCTGGAGAAATGGCATGTTGGCAAAGACAGCGGCCACCATGTAGGGACACACATCCAGGATGAACCTGCAAGGGCTAGGTCAGACAGCCAGGGATGGGTGGTTAGGAGACAGGCAGGTGGGAGAAGGGACATCCTCAGGGGTCCACCTTAGAAGACCCATGCTGAGGAGTGGAGATGCTATCCAAAGCAAGGTGGCTGCCACTGGAAGGTTTTCAAAGCCATAGTACAAGTCGGGAAGATGGAAGCTTTTAGGTCTTCCACTTCCTAGAGAGATTGACACTCTGTGCTGTTGTGATCAGAACTGAAATGTCAGAACATTAATTCACACAAAAAGAGTGATAGAGAAATCTAGTTTTGCTTGATCTCGAAGAGTCACTCGTGCTTTTTTCAGTTAGGATAAAAACGAATAACCATGAGCCATTTATTTTCTCAACTGGTGACGATACTTTTCATGGAGAGACCAAGCCACTACATCCACTTGTCTCTTCCTTGGCAATATTTTGGTCATGCTACACCTGTGGGGACCCCCACCCCCAATTTTAATGCTTTTGCCCAGGTTAGTGTATCGAAGGCAAAGAACAGCTGGTGCGAGACCTGGCATGAGGTTCTAGAGGATTCCATACCCTGCTTTGCAAGTGGTGCAGGCTCCTGTTGTTTCCCACTCACAAACTGACTTCCTATGGTCTAGAGCCGTGGCCAGCGTGGGTTTGACTCAGGTGCAGACGTTCTTGAGAGCGAAATCTGGATGCCTTGTGAGGAACACCTCCTTAAAATGGGGGGATCGATGGTGGCAGTGGGCTGGCCAGGAAAGTGGGCATCCTGTCTGGGCAACTTTGAAAGCAGGCAGCGCACTTCAAGGATGGTCCTGCGATGCTGCTGCCTGGTGTGGCACGGCGAACTGGAATGACCTGTCAGATTCACGCTGCTGCAAAAGCTTTCTGAGCCTGGGAAGGGCGTCCAGTGAATGCACTCAGCAAACACACACACACTGTATAAACACGAGGCAAATATTTTGAAAGGTGAAGAATGAGATACTTGTACTTCAGTGAGAGGAGGGGTTGGGATTTTGTGCCCAACAACATACCTTCCATGCTCAGTGGCCTGCAGCTTGTTCTCATGGGCCCCCGTACACAGTTATCTGCATTGTATGTTAAAAAATGCTCTCAGCCAAAGACCAAACAAATAGCCAATGACATTTTCCTATCAGGACCTGTTTATTGAAGGTAGAGCAGAAGAACAAAGCTGTTGGTTTTTATCGTTGGCAGGAAGCCAACACTGCTGCTTCAAAGTCCCAGCATTTACAAGAAAGAAACAAGGAATTTCAACTTCACAAGGGTGAAGAGGAGGAATTTTAGCTGAGATTATGTTCAAACAAAAGCAACAGAAAACCCCAAATTCAAGCTAAAGAATCCTCAGGGATCCATAATGGAAAGGCAGGAATGTGACTGGGACTCAATCCAGACTCTTAGATGTGTTTTTAGTAGAAGAGTGAAAGTTTTTAAAGGTGCCTGAAGCAGAGGTTACAGAGCAGCCTTTATTTATGATGCAGGATCATAGAATCTGTGAGCTGGATGAGCTGTCCTTAGTGATCCGTGAATCTTGACCCTCTTTTTTATAAGTCACGGGTTCGAGTCTGAGGAGCTTGAGCTGACCGCCCAAGGTCCTGGAACTAGCACCAAGGTCTCTGGACAACCATGTTGCCTTTTAAACGACTTTGCAGAAGCAGTAAACAAAGAGTTCTGTTTCGTATGAGCAAAGGGTGGACATAGAACGGCGTTGTGATGTGCAGTGTGTGGGGACTGTGGTCCACCCTGACACCAGCAGTGACTGCCTTTGCAGTTGCTACCCCAGCCTCAAACGTCAGGTGATCGGCTGGGGTCCCTGGGCCCATCCCAAGAATGGGGACCAGATGCCTGTTGGGGGAAGTCTTCAGAATCCTGCCACAGCCCAGGCGCCCCTGCAAGCCTGACTGGGTTTGAACCATCTCTGGGAGACCGTGGTGCCCAGCGCCCTTCTAACCCACCTGCACACTCTGGGCAGTGTTCTCCTATCCCCTTGGGCTGGTTTTGTGTAGCTGCCTGTGTTGATGCCCATTCTCTCTTCTTTGACAAGAGTCTGAACAAAGTGAAACTGCATTTAAATAACAGCACTCTTCTTATACAAAAGCACTGCTGTGGGTTAACTTTGCGTCTCTGTGCCTGGTTAACTTTTTCCCTTGAAGTCACCGCCCCTGGCATGAGCTGTGGCTTTTCCCCTTTGGGTGGCGGATGGGGGTGGGAGAGTCATCTACAGGAAGGGAGGGGAGGCTTCTCCGTGAGTCCCTCCTGAAACTCAGCCAGTGTTCATTGTCACTCTTTTGACCATTCATTCGCTCACTTATTCACTCAAGTTCTTGTTTTTTTTATATCCTGACTATGCAAAATGTTTGACAGAACTTACAGCAAGGAGTGTGTTTATATAGTAATAAAATGAAATCAAGTCATAGAGGAAGAGCATGAATTATTTATAACTAAATATCAAGTTTCATTTCGACCTTATAGCAACCAGGGTAAAACACACAGACAGACAGACCCACACACACACACACACACACACACACACACGTTGCAGTTCTTAGTGATCAGGAAAAAAAAAGTGGATTTCATCAAGAGAGCCTAAGTGTTGCTATTCTGGGTTATGCCATTAGTAAACACTTACCGAAGACTTTCATGTACGAGCTACAAAGCTCCTGCCTAACGCAAGTACATCCTCTCTCTCTCTCTCTGTCTCTCTCTCTCCCTCTGTCTCTCCCCCCCTCTCCCCCTCTCTCCCCTGCCCCTCTCCCCCGCTTCAGTGTCCTCCTTTCAGGCCACCTAAAGCACAGAGGAGATGTGTTCTTGTATTGTCCTGCATTCCCTTTGTATGTGTCAAGACATGGGCCAGAGTCACAGGCTTCCCTTTGGCTTTAGGTTACTTGATATTGTGCCATGCAGAGAAGTTCTTGGATTTGCAAATTATGTGGCCAGGAGTAGGAATCTTAGGATGGGTCAGAAATCAAGGATAACTGTACCTGGGCTCCACCAGTGTATGTTTCTTTTCCTTCACGGTGCTCCGGGCCCCATATCTAGCTCATCTGTGCTGTGCTGGGCTACTTTTTGAATCGAGGATCTTTGGGGAAGGTTGACTCAAAGGATTAGTACATGACGTGACCATGTGTAAAGTTTGCATTCCTTCTTGGCCTCTAAAAGTGGGACACGAAGGTACAGCTGCCTAGACTTGTAGGGTTCAAGGACTAAAGTTAGCACAAATAAAGGAACCTACTGAGGTCTTGCTGTGGCTCTCCCAAGCCCCATTCTAAAGTTGTAGCAGGAATATCAATTTCATCTTGAAGAAGGAAGAACCAGTGAGGAGTTCACACCTTCGACATACCTGTCAAAGCTGCCCATTCTTCCGTCCCTTCTCTGTCCTCCAAAGACATGGGGTTTCTCAGGAGGTAGACCAGAACCATCTAGATTTTGAGAGTATAAGAGAGAAAACCTTTGAGAGTATGGGAGACTTGAAACCTGCTGTGTTGCACTTTGTAGTACATTGGTGTAAGAGGAAAACATTCCTCCCTGAGAAATTCAGGAGTTCACTGAATATTTCCTGGAAGTTTGTGGATGGCTTTTGTTCTTAAACATACAAATGTGTATCCTGTGCGTCCATACAAGCATGTGTTTTAGAGTGCACTGTTACTAAATAAAGAAATATCTTGAGGTGAGGCGGCCTATATGCTGTAGTTGATATGGAGTAGTATGTCTGGATTCTTGGTCAAAGATCATCATTTGAAAAACCAGGGACAGTGGCTGGGTTGACATCATTTGCTGTTATCCTAGCTATGCTGGTTTAACTCCAAACATGTTTTGCTAGGCTGTGAATAACCTTGAGAGTTAGGGCCCTAAAGTGATCAGAATGGGTGTACTAGATTCTACTTGGAATGTTATTCATGATTATTGTAAGCAATGACTTGATTCTTACCTGTGCTTATTCTTTTTGAAAGTGTTAGAGAGGAAGATATCCACCAGACAAAGTAGAGAGGAGCTGATAAGAAGGGGCGTGATTAAGGAATTGCCTGATCAAGGTGAGGAAATTAATCATAATTAAATTAATTTAATCCTTCATTCCCTGGTCTTTCTTTCATTTTCTTTTGAAATTTAAAGTGATTATGGTCCTTGTCAGACAAAGCAACGAGTAATGTACTCCAAGAATCTTGCTTTAATTTGGAATGCTGCTGAGGACTGCAGGGAATCCTAAATGTTACAGAAAAGAAATCCAGTGAGTTTTCTGGTGAATCCTTTGCCGCAGATCATGCTAAACCCAGACCTCTCTGCAGGTACTTTGGTGCCTACAGATGCAGATAAAAATACAAAACTCACATGACATCTTCTCTGTTCTTAAGCTTTAATGTTTCCATTCAAGTTAAACTCAATTGTTTGAGTAAATGCAGTTTTAACTTATTCATGCCTTATGTATTTCTTCAGGTTATTAGTAAAAAGATGACAAACTCACCCTTGTTCTTTGTAATACACTCACATGTACAAGCATAAGGCGTGGATGAGCAAAGGAATCTGCTTTCTCTCGAGTAATTTTTCCAGTATTTTCTCTTTCCTTTTCTTTGAATCTAGTTGCCTCTTACTTTGTCACTAACAAGGATTATTTCCAGGTATTTTTTTCTTTGCTCTAATCTTTATTCTTTTTTTCTCTAACCTCTCAAGAGGGAAAATGTTGCTTAGAACAGACAAGGGCTAGATTGGAACCAGGATTGGCCCTCAAAATATACACCAGCATTGTTATTTCTTCAAATGAATAATGCTGAATGATTGTCTTTAACTACTGTTAAAGCTAAAGGAATTTTGCTCTGGCATTGTTGATTTACCTCAGGTCTTCCTTCTGGGTGTATTGGAGGTAAAGTAATATTATTGAAACTTTATGAGAACAATTAAAATGCTGTTAATTTGAAATTGAAATAGTAGTACTTCTCATTTCCTGACAGATGTTCCTTGGAAAGAACTTAATATTTTTTGTCATTTGCCATTTATAAATTGAAATGACATGCTTTTTCCAGTATCCAAAAAATTCCAAAATGAAAACTGGAAATGCTCTGCTGTTTTACTCCTACCTCAAAAAAGAGGGTTGGGGATCTGGAGCAAGTGCAGTAATGCTATCTTAATTGCATTTTTACAATTCTAGCTATTTTATTTTCATTTTTAACCTGTCAGACTTTTCTCACTCAACTTTATAAAGGAACTTTATGTCTTGTCCAATTTTCTATTACCTTGAAGCTATTTATTTCCTGTCTGCAGCTTTTTAAAATTAAAAAAAATGCACATCTTTAACCTTTTTAATTTGAAAGTGGGCACACAAATACCAGAATTCTTCTCGGGTCCAGTCTGTCTGGAAGCAGCAGAGAAATTACATAGCCATTGGCAGGTGTACCCTAAACCATCAGTTTTGTGGAGTGTCCAGTGCATTGCTTTGATGCCTTTTTTGGAAAATATTTCAATGAAGAAGAAAATCTAAAATTTACCACTGAAAAGCAGATTTAAAGATGGAGACTAAAGATCCATTTTTATCCTAATTAAAAGTTGCTAGTAGAACGTTATTTTACTTTTTCTGAAGATATGTAATAATGATCAGGTTTTTTTTTTTTAATGCTTAATACTAGTTGGATTTTATTTTGCCTAATCTGTTAAACTGTTTGGGCAACATATATTTATTTCTTGAAATCTGACTTTAACATTTTGTTTATCTTTTGCAGCTGAACATTGGAAGTTTTAAAACATAAAAGGACACGCCAATTTTTAGCCTAAACATAATACAAAAGGCTTAACGATTGGGAAATCCTAATCTATTGAATTTCACTTTCTTTTACCTTTTGCATGGTGTCCATACAGAACTATAAAAATCGCGTAGCATTTCCAAGTCCCCGAAGGTGCATATTGTACATAAAATCCTCTCTTTCGGCCCCTAGGCTGGAGAAGATAGGTTTGTGTCAAGTTCTCAAACAACGGTTCCCCTGAGAATTTCGGAGGCAGAGACTGGGAGCTGCCTCCCTGGTGAGAGCCTCCTCCCCTGCCACTGCAGCTTCCTTCTCAGCATTGGTCCTCTTGGACCGACAGTGCTTGTCAGTTATGCCCTTTTCTCAAGGGTCGATAGAATTTTTATGTCTCTTCAGGTGCCCAGGGTTTGACCTCAGCCATCCTATCCCATACCCTCACTGTCAGCCTTTATTGCTGTTCTACTGAGATCGTCCTTTTTATACCAGGTTTTCACTTCAGTCCTGTATCCCAGATGTTGATCTGTCCTGAGAAGAGGACACATGGTCCAGTGCAAGTTGAGCTCTTACCTGTGGTTCTTTCCTTCCATCTTTTCCCTCAGCTTTAACATGTGGCCTGTCTTGGCCTGTCTGCCACACTCTGCTCCTTTCTGGTTCTCTAATGGGGTAAGTTTTACCCTTTCTAGTGAGTCCCTTACCTTTTGGTCAGACATGATTTTCCTCTCACAGTTGTTCTTTAACTCCTTCCTGTATGCCCTTGCTTACCAGAAAGGGGTAAGCTCTTTCAGACACTCTTGAATTTACTTGTTTGTGCTTTCTTTGCTTTTTATTTTAAGCTTACAGTGATTTGAGTTCTTGTTTTTTGCATACTAATGCTCCTGCAAGGCTTGTGGGCCTGGACCCCTTCCTGCAACTCATATCAACCTCCGCATCTTCTTGTGCCTTCCTTTGCTTACTCTCATGTGCTCCATCAAGGATTTAACCTATTTCAATTTGGAAACAATTTTCTTAGCAAAATATTAGAAAAACTTTTCAGTAATGTGCTAATTAATTAATTAATGCTTTCAGTTCTTCTCTGTTTCATTCTTGAATTCCATATTTATTACAGATATGTCTTCTTTCTACAGTTATATTTATATCACTAGTTATATTTCATGCCTCAAAGTAAGTATCTTTCCATATTGTTGAGTGTTGCTATCGTGTGATAATGCAATTTCTTTTTGTGACTCAAATTTTTTATCTCTATCTTTACTTTTTAAGAAATCAGTTATATAACCAACTAAAAAATTTAAGTAGAATTGCTTAAAATTGAATTAAGTTGTCATTAACATGACTTTAACATATATTTATTGCCAACTAAAATCAAAGAAAACAACTTAAATTTTGTGCTAACATAAAGTGAAGATTTCTATACAAAGAATGGAATTATCCATTTTTATATCATTTTCAGTTTTTCTAGGTATATTGTGTCTTCTCCATTTTTTTTTAATGGCTAACTGCTGGGGATACAATAATTCTTATATTAATTCTGCTGAAAGAATTAAGATTCATGTAAATGTTATTGCCTGCAATCATTGTCTATTTTAGTTTTATATAGAAATGAGAATATAGATCCTTAGAAATTATATGACTGAACAACAATCATGTTTCCATTTTGGGCATAACATAATTCCATATATCTATTTTACTTATTAAAGTATCCTGCCTGTTTTTGTCCAGAAGGCCAATGAATTCTATTGTTAAAGCAATGAAAATTTGGTAAATGGTCTGTGTTTTATAATGATTGCCAAAATAAAACTAATCAAAAATTGCTCACAAGCAGCTCTAATCATACATTTCTTCAAGTTTGCTAAATTAATACTTCAATTAATTAATTTTACTTTTACAAAAATAGCAGAGCCTCTTACATTTTTCCATAGATGGACTTAAGGGTAATCTTTCCAACAGTCACTGAATTAAAAGTTTCTGTAAAACCTCTTTCATTTTAGAAACCCTCAGAAAATATGAAATGTCAGTGATTAAAATTATTTGATTTATACATTAGAAATTTTGTTTTTAGCTGTGAGTTTTTTTAAATTCTGTAATTACTTTTTATGTGTTTTTTTCACCTAGTATTTTTTAGTTATTATTATGCTATCTGAGGGATTTTTTTGGTTAGTTATATATAACAATTTCCCGAGTACATTTTAGTCTTTCCATAAGTAAGAAAATAAAAATTAAATTAAGAGTTCGATCCCCAGTAACAAAAAATAAAAAATAAAAATAAATAAATAAATAAATAAATAAATAAAATTAAGCTTGGTACCATCTATTCTCTGGACAGAGTGGCACTTAGATCTGTGTGAAGTTAATATATCATATATATAATAATATATTCTGAAGACGGTACTGCTTGGAGATTTTCTTATTGTCCCCTGATTGTTTGTATGTGTAATTACATTTCATGTTATTTGTGTACCTTGTGTCTTTGGTGCATGTTAAAGTGTTTATTCCATTTTGCAGATTATTCCTTTCACCATTCAGTTTCTGGATTTCAAAACAAAACAAAACACTGAAATTATAACTTCAACAAAATCTAAGCCCAAGAACAGAGAGGCTGCTATCTGAGGATCATAGAATTAGGCTAATTGTTTTGACTGTCTTGAAGTGGGATGAGGATTTTTTTCCCTCCATAGTTGCTTTTCCCAAGACTAAGGATTTTTCTAGCTTTTTTTGTTTTAGGTAAATTACTTAGTAAGACACAGTGATTTGGTTCCTCGGGATAAAAACACAAACCCGGATCCTGTAATCATATTAGCTGGAAACTGGTTTTTAAGAAAGCCATCAAGTTAGACATCTAGGTGTTTCTTTCCCATTTTAGATGGAGATGTAACAGTTAACTTTGAAAATTCAAACGGGCACATGATACCCATCGGAGAGGAATCCACCCGAGAGGAGAATGTAGGGCAGCCTGAAGAAGGTAATGGCTCTGTATCTGAGAAAACACCACCTCGGGAGGAAAAGGCAGAAGATAAGAAAGGTAAAATAAAGAGAATATTATTTCCTTCAGTGCAGCTCAACACTGAGAACCAAGTCTTAGGCTCCAAATAGTGACTCTGAAATCAGTGGTTTGCAAAGAGAGATGATAACTAGGGAAAAGATATAAAATGTCTTCCTCAGGTAGATGCATCCATTTTATAAGCATGTCATTTGATTGTTTATTATTAAAGAGGAATAATGAAAAATCATCATCGGAAAGAGTGGACTCTTCAAGCATTCGAGATGTGAGGAATATTCTCCTTTCCTTAGGAGCTTTTTGTGAGGATCCTAAATATGACAAATTTGAGCATCTTTCTCAGCTGGTTCCATCTGGCTCCTGGGAGCAGCCCGACATAGAGCAGTGCATACCAAAGCCTACGAGGCTCTCAGCCTGACACTATCTCTCTCTCTCTCTCTCTCTCTCTCTCTCTCTCTCTCTCTCTCTCTCTCTCTCTCTTTCCCAC